ACTCATTCCAGCCACTGAGGAAGGGAGAAAAATTGGAAGGAGAGAAGCAAGACCGAGCAGCTGAGGCCCAGAGCAGCCCAGTGATCTCAAAGTGAGCTCTGGCAACCTCGGGTTCCAATGAGTCCTCTCTTTCCCACCTCTGCTGGCCTTGCTGCTTTCCTATATTTCTTCAGAGATGGGGACGGGGCTGGGGGTGCCATAGGGTTCTTCAAGATGAACTGTGAGCTGGGCATGGCCAAGGCTAAGTGAGCCAGTCCTCTGTGGAAGATTCTCAAGTACTGCTGGTAAAAGTCTTCTCTCCTGAGAAGGCAGCAGGTGTCAGGATGAAGAAGCCTATCTCAAAGCCGCCTTGACTCCCTTCCCTTTTAATCTACTGATGGGCCATCAGCAAATATCACATAGCAAAGATAATCTCATCATTTTCCAATCCAGATATTTAATGAGCACAAACCTCCTGCAGATGACGAGGGAAAAAGATGACTCAGATCTGGGCTTAAGTGCTGAAATTCACCCTGAAGGGGCTTAAAATTCAGTTAGGGTTTCTGTACCTAAAAAAGTTAATAAACGCTTAAAAATCTTGAGTACCTAAGACAACAGAGAGGTCATGGGGCAGTGTGTGATTGTTCTTAAAGAAAAGCTCAGAAAAAAACAAAGCTATGCCACGGTGAGTGCCCACATGGGCACGGCAGAGCGAGCGGGTCTGGGGGTGGGGTGGGGAGGAGAACCTTCTGGGATGGGCTTCAGGCACAATCACCAGCCAGCCAAGGGCTCCCTGTGTGCTTATGGGAGGTGTGGGTGGTGGGAGGGCAGGGGTCAGGCTGGGCCAGGCCATGGGGGGTGAAGGGTGAGCCCTCCAGGCAGTGGGGGGCCACTGAATGCTCCTTAACCTGGAGGAATGGGCCAAAAGTGGGGGGAAAGCCCCTTCTCAGTGAAAGCAAGCCAGACACCAGTCACCCTGTCTTCTTGCTACCCACCCCTGGAGCCTGGAGAACAGATAAAGCTCCCGGAGAGAGTGGGCCCCTTGCAAGACCTCATCCCTGCATTCAGCCCAAAGAAGCAGCACCAGCTGGTTGCCTACAGAAGCATCTCCTCCTCTGAAGCCTTTAGAGCCATCTCTGGCACCTGCCCCCAAAGGTGGGTAGGATGCCCTGCTAAGTGCTTCTACAGCAACTGTTCCTCCCTCGTCACAGCTCGCCCAGACCTTTACTGTAATTCTGCCCACAAATGCCTGTACTCCCCAGTGGACCATAAGTTCCATGAGGCAGGGATACACTCAAAGATCTGATTAAATAAATGAACGGATGATGGAAGGAGGAAGGGAGAGAGGGATGCGGGGGAGAGAGGGAGGGATGACTGAACAAATGACTAAGCGACCAAAGGGCAGCTGCATGCAGGGTCACTGTGCTGCACAACTCCAGGGACGTCATTCACATCGTGCTTGATGTGGATGGCACCTCCAGCAGCACAACTGCCAGGGACAGGATGGGAGGTGGCTGGTCAGAGGGAGATGCTGGCCGGCTGGCCTCATCCTGGGAAAGCAGACCAAACTTGTGTCCATCAGTCTTCCTGCTTCGACTGGAGGAGTCCCAGGGAAAGGAGATCAGGAGAGGCCAGAGTTCAGCAGACAATCCCACATCCCCCTCCCCACCACCCCCGGGCTGTGCCTCGTAAAGGCTGAGCCCCCAGAGAATGCCATCGGAACTCAGGAGGAAGACGTATGCCCAGAGGCCTGCTCTCCTTCCTTCGACACCTGCTCGTGGCTGCCTTCTCTGGCTGCCACCAACTGCCGCAGTTGGGACTGGTGTCCATTACTCCCCTGTATCCCCCACTGCTGCCATTAGCACAAGGCCATGGCCGACAGGCCCAGAGACAGCCATCTGAGCACTAGCAGGACTGCACAGCCTTCCTACCGCAGGAAATCCTTCATCCTGGGTCCACAGCACCCTCCCCACAATGCCATCCCCTGCCAGGCTGACACCGTCGGCCAGCCTGTATTCCATGGTCCAGGGGACAGCAGTCATTCTGCTGCCAAGAGGGGGCTGGAGGTGTTCTCTCTGGAGTGGCTCCTCAATGGCTTCCCACTCAAACCACGTCCTGTTACCTTTGAAGGCCTGATGCCCAGCCCCGTGGAATTATCTGGCCCAGGGCATCCTCCTCATCACTGGGCTTCAGGCTGGTACTCTTTTTGGGAATCTAGCTGTCCTCACCTAATGGCCTAAGGAGATGTCACCACTATGCCAGGCACAGGAAACAAGAGAAGGCCGCATCCCTCCAGCTTCTTCCCCGGGCCTTTCTAGGGGACTCAGCTCACACAGGCAAGCCCATGATGCTCTAGAAGGCTCTGTCAAGCTCAGCTGGCCCAAGTCCCCCACATACAGAAGGTAAGGGACCTCCAAAGTCACACAAAGAGGGAGAGCCAGGGTGGGGGTGATGGCCAGACCTCAGGGGCTCCCTCCACTGCAGAGGCTGCAGTGGCACAAAGGACCAACACATGCACAACGCTGTACAGGCAAGACGGAAGCAGCAGTGGCAACAGCAATTCCCCAGCCTATCAGGATACACACGTCCCCTACCTAACTCAGGGACCCCAAAAGCGCTGTAAAATCCAAGGTAAAGAGCCGACTAATGACACATCCAAGTGGAAGGAAGCTTGTCAGGGCCCTAGGGTTCCCTGCCAGAAGGGACCAGAGTGGCCAATAGCCAATCTCTCTGATGGCAGAGCCTTTCATCCCTAATGACCGTGTTCCAAGGGCCCACAAACCCTGCCCCCAATCAACTAGCCCAGCATTGCCCCAGGTCACCCAAACCAGTCACAAGCCTGGCCAGAGAGGAGCAACCCTCACCTCCTCTCAGGAAGACACCCCAAGTCTTGGTTTCACCAATTCAAGGTCATCTTATTTCCCAATGACACGTTAGTGACTGGGAACAGGAGATGTGAGTTCCAGCCCCAAAAGTGTTGACAACTCACAATGGGACACTGGGCAAGTCCTGACCATCCCTGGGGCTCAGACTTCTCATCTAAACATGCCAGGGAGGTGCGTGCTCCATCGCTGAGGACTTAAGGTCTCATCTCTGTGATTTTACGGGCAAAGGGGGTTTGCAGAGCTCAGCCCATCAGGAATTCTGAGGGAGCCCAGAATTTTCACTCAAACTCACCAGAGACATTTTCCTCATGAAACCCCGGGTCCTTCACTGAAGCATGTTCAGACGTGGAATAAATGGATGTCTACTGAGAACCTACCAGGGTCCAGGTCCTCTGAGAGGCACTGGGGAAACGCGAAGGAGGAGGAGAATTGCCCTCAGCAACCATTTTATCAAGACAGAAACTGAGGCTCAGAGAGGCCTCGAAATCCACACAAGGCAGCACAGCTAGGAATTCAACTCCAGGCTGCCTGATCCCTGGAGAGTCCTCTCCCAGGGCTCCAGGCCCAGTAAGATTAGCAATGGGATGTGAAGACCCCCGAAATCCCTCAGGCAAGGGAAGAGTGAGCTCTGAAACTGGGATCTATTAAGATCAGAAACTCAGAGTCCAGGACACAGGGCTGGCTGAGTTGACCTTGTTCTGAATTGCCCAGCCTGGCCCCAGGACCCATCCCTATGTCAGGGCCCGACCACCTCCTGACACCCTTCTCTAAACCATCCATCTCAGGTGATGTGCAGGAGCAGAGAGGAGACTGCCAGGTGACTGCACATAGGCACACACCATGAGAGCACTGTCCCCTGAGCCCACCAGGTTCTCCCAAAGTTGCCTGTGTCCTGGGCCCTTGTACAGACAGGTGCCAAACCAGGTGAACTGGACCAGTCTGTAGAGATAGAGCCTGGGGGGGCTCCTGCCCCCAGGGACGGCCTCCTCCCGGAAGGAGGTGGTCAGGGCCCAGTCTGCCACCTGCAGCCCCAGGTAAGAGGCCTCTGGAGGGATGCTCTGAGAACCACGCCTTTCTACAGGTGTCAGAGGGGTCCATGCTCTTCAGTCTTGTCTCTCCACCTAAGGGCCAACCTGGGTTTCAGAGACGCTTTCCCCGGGGAAGCTGCTGGGCTGCAGGGAAGCCATTTGTCTCTCCCTCCCCCCTCCCCTGGCCGGCTGCCACAGTGACCTCCCCTCCCCCAAGAAGGGCGGTGAGCTGGAAGGTGGGGGTGGGAAGAATCCACCGCCAACGCTCTTGGGAGCGGTGGTGGGAAGCCAGGCAGGGCGTGTCGCCTGGTCCTTTCTCTGCCCAGCGCCTGGCTTCATGGCCTCTTGGTACGAAGCACCCCTGTACCGTCCCCCAAATCTACTTCGCATTGGGGAACCCTCGCTGTCATCGCCCATAGCCCCAAACAGGCTAAGACACGCCGGCGAAGGGCAGCGGGTCTAGAACCTTCTGTGCTCAGTCGCACGTAAGCCAGGGGAGGTAGGCGCCCTGCTCCCCCAGGCCTGCAGCCGCTCTTCCCAGAGGAGACAGGTGCGGGTCCTCCCCTCGCGGCCGTCTGCCCCAGGGCCTGGACGAGACCGCAATTGCGCACGGTTCCGGGCAGGGGCCGCAGGGAGCCCCTCCGGTGCACCCGGGTGGGGGCGGCCAGACGCCAGCCCCGCCTCGTTCTCCGAAGAGGGGCGCCCGTCCTTCCCCCGACCCCGCCACCTGCGCGGTCGCCCGCAGCCGGTGCCGCAGTGCGAGCGAGCCAGCGAGCCCGGCGCCTTCACGCTTCGGCCGGCGCCGCCGAGTCAGCCGCCGCCCTCCCACCTCCCGGCCGCGCCGCACCTGCACCCGCACCCCAGGCCCCCACCCCAGATCCCACCCTCACCCCCACCTCTGGCCCCAGCGCCTACCCGGTCCTTACCATGAGCCCCTCCCATGCCCGGCCCCGCCCGAACCGGCCCCGACCTCCACATCCCCATCCCTCCCCTCCACCCGGGCAGGGACGGGCCTTTATCAACCAGGGCTGGGGGTCCCAATGGGGTGGATGATTTGGCGGCGGGGGTCGACTCGGTGCCCAGCCAAGAGAATAAGCGGGGTACTTACCGCTCTGCTCCCCCAGGAACACCAACTTGAATTTTCTCAGTGGGTTCCCAAAATCTCCCCCTGCGGACATGGTGCTGGTAGCCGGGGCCGGGAGAGGAGGAGGAGGAAAAGCGAAGGAGCAGGGAGGGGAGAGGAGGAGGGCGAGGGGAGGCGGCCGGCGGTGCGGGAGCCGAAGGGGGAAGGGCGGGCTGCGCGCGTCCCTGACTCCCCAGCTGCGTCCCGGCCCCGGCCTGCGGCTGCGTGTCCGGCGGCGAAGGAGGAGCAGGAGGAGGCGGAGGAGGAGGAAGGCTGGGCTGGGCTGGGCTGCTGCGGGCGGCGCTCGCTGCGGGGCGAGGGGCGCGCTCTGGACGCCCGAGGCGCGGCGCGGACAGCGAGGCGCGGGCGGAGCGGGGCGCAGGGACGGCGCGGGGCGGAGGAGCGCTCTCCCGAGCCGCGCGACTCGCCCCCTCCCGCCTCCCTCCTGCGCCGGCGCCTGCGCTCTGCGCGCTCCCCAGCCTCTGATGTCATGCGGGGCCCACGGCGCTGCGGGGCTGGGGGGCGTCCGCCCGCCCACCCCGAGCCCGCACTCGGGCGGGAGAGAACGGCCTTGCCTTCCCTCCGAGAGGACCCCCGATCGGGCGGTCTCTCGTTGCCCCTCTGCGTCTGTCTTCTCCACTCTGCCCCTCCTTTGAATCCAGAAAAATGACATGAAATTGTCTGGGGACATTTGTTTCTGGTGTCTTAAAACCTAGATGCCACCCCTTCCTCCACCTCCCGCGACGCCGATGCACAGCATAGCCGAGGAGGTGGGGGAGAGCCAGGGTGTGATGTACCATGTGGGCATAGACGGCTTAACTGTCACCCCGTGTGGCCTCTGGCTCGCCCTCCCCCCTTAGGCCCAGATCCCTCCTCTGGGCATCTCTGTGGGATCATAGGTGTCCCCTCAGGTCAGCAAAACAGGAGGACCAGTGCAGGGCGCGCCTGCCTCAAGCCAACCACTGCTACACATGATTTTATCTTAAATTTGCTGCCCCATGGGAGGGAAGAAGCAATGACCGCGGAATATCAGCATGGCCGGCTCCCGGACAGTGTCCTGGGTTCTTTGACCCTGGGGCCACCAGGCTGACAAGGGCGCTGCTTGCCCTGGCAATTAGGTGTATCTGGACTACGAGCTGGTGGAGGACAGGACGGCAACCTCCCTTTTGCCTCCCTGTTCACCTGACCCATTGAGGCACACAGACTAAGCTGTGAGTGGGTGAGAGCAAGGAGCAGATGCCAAGCGTTAGCAGCTCTCCAGGGACAGCCTGAGCATAAGGCATTCTGGTTAATGGAGGTTTTACAAAGCTGCTTCTTACTGTCCTACCATCACATGATCTTGTTCTTTAATGTTCAATGAACATTTATTTGGGATTATAACTCAAACGTTTGGGAACAAGCTCTGTGTGTGTGTGTGTGTGTGTGTGTGTGTGTGTGTTTATACAGAGAGACAGAGGGGTGACAAGCAACCTTCATCACCAGCGTTTTTCCAGGGGACGTTTGTTCCCCTCTTTCTGACTTACAAGGCGTGCTTAGGATGTCTTCCTGCCTGTCTCCCTGTGTCATTTACCTGGAGTCTCTCTCTCTCCCATTGCTTGTTAAAAACCAGAGTGAGCTCCATGAAAGCAAGAGTTGAGGCTCCGCTACAGGATCCCAAGGACCTAGCTGAGAGCCTGGCAGATAGTTGTTGAATGTTTGAATGAACGTCTAGAACCCCAATCAGAACAACTGTCCTGTTTCTCAGTCACCTTGGGTTTGGAGCCCCAGGGATTGTAGGTCATCACTCTGGAATGTCTACCCCACCATGCCTAGCATCGGACTCAGGGTCACCCTCCAAACTCCCACTCTCCTTTTGCTCTGGAGTCCTTGATCTCTCAGGAAACCTCGTTCAGCACGGGGTTGAAGGAAACTCTAGAAGGAGAGGAGACTCCCAAGCTTCCTGCGTCTATGAGTGGTCCCTTCTCTGAAGAGCCAGGGGGGTTATGATCAAGGCACCCAACCAGTCGACACTCCTCCAACCTGTACGTTCTCAACACCTGGGGCTGTATTCCTGTATCCTGTCATTCTGTCCTGAGGACATCATTGGTGGCAAGACAAAGCAGTTGAGGCATGACAGAGAGAGTATCATCTTTTAGGTAAGCCTGGGCAAGTCCTGAACCTTCTCTGATCATCTGGTGCTCCACACACAAGGTGATATGGCCGTAGGGGAGGTAGGGATGGAACACGGGCTCCTCTGGGCACCTCTAAGCCCCTAAGTCATCCTGCGGTGCTTAGCAGACCCAGCTGGGTTGACTATGGGCCAGGATACCTTGTGGGACTCTGCCAGGATTCTTCCAGATCAAATGACAAAAACCCAACGCCACCTACTTTAAGCGCAGCGACATGGGCTGGCTCATATAGCTGGAGCAGATATTGGCGTTGCTCACAGAATGTGGTCATCATGCTGTGCTGTGGAAATCAGAATCTGCTCAGTTCCATGTCCCTCTCTTTCCCCACCATTTGTCATTTCTTTTCTCCCCTTATTTTGGGCCTTGCCCTGGAACAGACAGGCTTTCTCCAGGTGGCAAAAAAATATGAAATATGGCACTGTGACCCTCAGTTTGGCAACCCCACTGGAATGAGTTTCTTCCACATGGCACCTTTGTGTTCCATTCTTTAAAATCATGTAAAGCTTCCTGCTGAGTACGCATATGTAAGTTGTAAAGAAAACCCATCGTTTTGAACACCCATTTACCCTCCACCCAGCTGGAGAAACCAAACGTTGTAATGCTTTCAAGGCCTCCAGTTGTTTCCCTCCCCTGCACTCCCTTCCTCTCCTCCCTTCCCAATGCAGAAATCCAGAACCCTGGCTTTTCTTTGAGTTTTATCACATTTGGATATGTCCTTCAACAATACTTTGTTTTGTTTGCATCTTTTGAACTTTACATAAGGTATCAAGCCGTATATTCTCTCCTATGACTTGCATTTTTCTTAACATTGTGTTCCTAAGATGGGTCTGTTGATGCATATAGTAGCAGTTTTTCATTTTCATTGTTGTTTAGTATTCCACTGTATGCTCCAATTTTTAAATCATTTTCAGTTAAATGTGTCCCATTAAAAATTTTTTTAACTTGAAATAATTTTAGATTCACAGTGATAACATCTTACATAGCCAGAGTACGTTAGTAAAACCAGGAAATTAACATTGGAAAATGTACCCAGCTTTCTTTCTGCTATTACCAACCGTTCTGCTATGAACATGCCTTACATGCCTTCTGAGGCACCTCAAGTTTTTCCAAGATATGTATGGAGCGGATAAATTGTGATGTAGAACCAAATAAATGTTTAATTTTATGCCAAACTGTGTTCCAAAGATAGTCCTCAAGTCATATAGTTCTATATCTGCACCTGTATTTTTAATTTTCTTCAAGAAAGTCTTGGCTATTCTCAGCCCTTTGCTGTTATATACACTTTTTAAATGGAACTTTATTTTGAGATCATTGCAGATTCATAGGCAGTTGTAAGAAATAAGACATATCCTGTGTATCATTTATCCAGATTTTCCCAATGGTAACATCTTTCAAAGCTAAATGCAGTATCACAACCAGGATATTGTCATTGATACAGTCAACATACAGAACGTCTCCATCACCAGGAGGATTTCCTTTTACAGCCACACCCACTTTCCTCCTGCCCCACCCCCTTCCTAACCTCAGGCGACCACTAAACTGATCGTTTCGATAATCTTGACATTTCAAGACTGTTATATAAGTGGAATTATCTAGTATGTACCATTTTGGGATTGGCCTTTTCCACTCAGCATAATTCTATGGAGATTCATCCAGGTTCGATGTATCAGTAGTTGGCTCCCATTTACTGCTGAGTGATAGTCCATTGCATGGGTCAGCAGAGTTTGCTTAACTATTCACCCATTGAAGGGCATCTGGGTTATTGCTGGGTTTTGGCTATTACAAATAGAATGTCTGCGAACAATTGTCTACAGGTTTTTCTGAACATGAGTTTTTGTTTCTCTGGGATACATGCCCAGGAGTGCAGTTGCTGGGTTATATGGCAGCTACATGTTTCGTTTTTTTAAAGGAACTGCCAAACTATTTTCCAGAGTGGCCATACAACTTTACATTCCTGCCAGCAACGTATGAGGGACTCCATCTCTCCAGCATCTCTCTATCTCATCCTCACCAGCATTTGGTTTTGTCACCGTTTATTTATTTTTTGAGCCATTCTGAGAGGTATGTAGTGATGTGTCATGGTGGTTTTAATCTGCATTTCTTTGATGGCTGTGATGCTGAACATCTTTTCATGTGCTCATTTGTCATCTGTATGTCCTCTTTGGTGAAATATCTGTTCATGTCTTTTGCCCATTTTTTAATTGGATTGTTTGTTTTTTATTGTTCAGTTTTGAGATTTCTCTATATATTGTAGATACTAGTCCTTTGTCAAGTATGCAGTTTGCAAATATTTTCTCCCACTCTGCAGCTTTTCTTTTTGTCCTCTTAACAGGGTTTTTTGCAGAGTAAAAGTTTTTCATTTTGATGAAGCCATCTTATTGATTTTTCCTTTTACGAATCTTTTAGTGCTATGTCTAAGAACTCTTCACTAAGCCTTAAGTCCCAAAGATTTTTCTCCTATGTTTTTTCTAAAAGTTTTAAAATAGGTTTACGTTTTACATTTCAGTCCCTGATCCAGTTTGAATTAAATTTGCATGAGGTATGAGACTTAAGCTGGAGGTTCTTTTCTTGCCTATAGATGTCCAGTTGCTTCAGCACCATTTTTTGGAAAGGCTATCTTTTCTCTATTGAATTGCTTTTGCACCTTTGTCAGAAATCAGCTGGGCCTTGTTACTGTGGGGAAGGGGTGGATGTCCAGACTCCCCACGTGATCTTCACTGACCCTGCAGGGAGGAGACCTTGGTACTGCCCAGTGGGGATAAAAGGCCCAGCTCCCATCTTGGCCATCTCTGACACCCCATCCCAGCTGGAGGGTTGAGGCACGCTGGTACAGCTTGCTGGTGGTGCGAGTCTATACCGCTGCTTGGACTTTGCTGGGGTAGGTAGGTAGTGGGGGTACCTCACAGTTTTCTCTGTGGTGTTTGGCTGGAGTAGAACAATTATTGTCTAAAAGTTTCCTGTCTTGCTAAGCTGCTCTTTTGACTAGAGAAAGCAAGTCTTATTTGGGGCTTTTTTTGAGTGCTCAGTGGCGTTTCTGAGTCGCCAGGTTCTTCACCTCCGAGTCCAGGACACATGAGTTGAAAAGAAAACCCCACGGAAGGTGTCGCTGTGTCATTCCTTGGGTTCCAAGGTCCAAAGCTGGTTGCCTTCTCTCCACCTCTCAGAGTTTTCTTATGTTTGTTTCATACCTAA